CAGGACCCTGCTCCAGCCCATGCCTCCCACGGGTTCACAGCCTTGTCTCAGGCATCCACCTGCTCTGGCCTGGGTCTCTTCCAGGAGCTGCAGTTGGATATCTGCATTCCCTGGGACCTCCATGGGCTGCAGGGCCACAGCTGCCTCACCATGGTCTCACCACAGGCTGCAGGGGAACCTCAGCTCTGGTGCCTGGAGCACCTCCTGTCCCTCCTTCATCAGCCTGGGTGTCAGCAGGGCTGCTCCTCTCACATATTGTCACTCTGCTCTTCCCTGGCTGCAATTACATTTGCAGAGTAACTTTTTTCCTTCTTAAATCTGTTATCACAGAGCCATTTCTAATTGGCTCAGCCTTGGTCGGGGCTCCTCCATCTGGAGCCTCCTGGCATTGGATCTGCTGGGCATGAAGGAAGCTTCCAGCAGCTTCTCACAGAAGCCATCCCTGTACCAGCCCCACTACCAAAACCTGTCTGTGCAAATCCAATACACAGGGACACACCAAGCCTTAGCTTTTGAGCCTTAACATGGAAAATGGCAAGGAGCAAACATAGCAATCAAATTCTTTCAGAACTCTTTGTGACCAGCTGCAGGGCAAGCAGGATTTTCAGCAAACATAGAACTGGCTGGGGAAAAGGTAGAGCTATTAGTGGAATATGGAGTCAGCTTTCAGCTTGACCTCATACTAAGATAAGCTATTTATTTTGTATACTACAAATTAAAGAGGAGGGAATAAAACCCAGCCAATCAGGCTGGCACAGAAGCATCCTAGCAGCAAACAAATAGAGCAGCAGTGCACTGGCTCTGTGGCCTCTTGGTGCCTGCCAGCCCCAGCAGTCCACCCAACAGGTTTAGGCAAGTATGCAAAATGGAGCGAGCTCTGCACTCCTGGCAGCTTCCCTCCCACCTTGTGGACTCCTGCCCTCTCCTCAGCTGCCTGCCGGAAGGTGCTCAGAGTGCCTCAGGTGAACCCTGGAATCAGCTCCAGCTGCCAGCGCAGCTGTGGCCTTTATACACTGTTTCAGAGCCAAAGGCATTCATTTTGTGCATATCCTTGGCACCAGAGAAGTTGAGGCGTCTTCACCTTCCTGGGTGCTGACCTTGATGCACTCCTCATGGCATCTTGATTACTTGAAGCTTCCCCGACTGAGTGCAGGATCTGGATCGGCTCTGTGGGGCTGAGACATGTTTTGTGAGCCCAGTAAGTTTTCCTCATGCCTTTTTCTCCTCGGTGGTGGAGAAAGAGTGCCACTTAAGGCAACAAAGCTGTCAAGCTAATAACTGAGTAATTTAAGACAGGAAAGAAAAAGCAAGTTGAGCTGTTTGGCCGAAGTCGGTGCTCAGCACTGCCCTGGGCAGTCAGGACCTGACACATCTGGCTGGCTGGCACCAGATCCCCTCCTGCCTGCAGCTGCTGCACATGCACTCATCTTAGAGATGGTTAGAAATATTGTCCCCCTTCAAAAAAGTGATCATTCTCTGTAACAAGAGGAACAGTGTTAATTTTCAGATTGAAGTATTGCTTTCTAGCTTTACCATTTGTACTGCAGTAGTCATGCATCAGCAACACAATGCTTTTTGCAAAAGTGTAGCCAGAGATCTTAGAGTTGTAGAATGGTTTAGGCTGGAAAAGATCTGTAAGATCACTGCGTCCACTGTAAAGCCAATAAAGCCAGGGTCACCACTGCCATCAGCCCCCAAAGATGAGCTCTGACTTTCAGCTGGTTTACAAGATTTTGTGCCTTTCCTAAGTGATGAATCAAATTTTGTTCAACTCAAATTTCCCATTACATGAAATTCTCCTTTGGAAGTGTGTTACAATCTCATCTGCACTATCCTGTGACAGAGACATTCCAGTCCACATGAACATGAAGACCAATTTTCCTCAGTTTCCACTTTTTAAAAATCTGTTCTGCCTCAGAAAAGCATCAGTGCACAGAAGCTTGACTATATTTAAAGCAGGCAAGTTCCTGTTTCACTCTGAAACTACTGTTTTGCTCACGCTGAGTTCAGCATGAGCAGCCTGCTGTCCAGCCAGCTCGGCTGGTCTGTCTGACCCCTCTGCTCAGCCCCACTTTCATTCAGAGAAGACAGCACGAGATCATCCAGTGCAGCAAGCTGCCTCTCTCCACAATGTGCAGCTGTGTGATTTACACCTGCTGATTTTCACAGTGCCCACCTGTGCCAGCTGCAGAGCACCCAGCACTGCAGAGACACCGGCATGGAGGGGAGTGACAGCTGCCATCCCGCTCGGTGATGGAGCTGCGTTCATCTGGGGTGAACCCTTACCTGCTGATGTCGGAGAGTTTCCACTTCCCACAGGATTCATCTTAGGGGAATCACAAGGTCTTTATCAGAGACAGGTGTCTCGGTATGTGCTTAGGGACATCAGCCACAGTCCCTCCTCCTCCTCACACCTGTGCATCAGTGCACCCTCACACACTCTCCCACCACTGAGGGGGACTTTGGGAGCCCCTCAAAACAGCACTGTACTTCATACCACAGAGAGCTTGAAGGATGGTAAAGTTTCCCAAGGGTGTTTAACAGGTATGAGACAGACAGAGGAGAGGTATAATGATTTTACCTCTTGTACTGTGCTCTTCATACAGGAATTTGTACACAGGGGGGATATGATAATGTCTCTATTTGCTATTTGGTTGGTGTGCAATACCACATAAGAATAGTAAGAAAGTACCAAGGTTTTTCCAGGGGCAGGAGAAAAGACTGACCCAATAAGCTTTTCTTTTTCTTTAATACTTTCTTTTATCTTTGCTTTTCTTCTATCTATTTTTTCTGTTCCAAGTGGGAGACAACAGAAAAAAGGCAAGGCTTTTGATTCAGGGAAAAGCAGCCCTATGAAATGCACACCTGGGGCTAATAACAAATTCCTCATTGAATTAAATCTACAAATCTCTGTGCACTCGGAGCTGCACAACAGGATCCCCCTTGGGATAGTTTCTCCTCAGTTCACTGCAAGAGCCACTCCATGCCCTGAAGCATATGGAGAGAGCTTACTTACTCACTGTTTTATTTGAATGGCAAAACATAGTCACTCTTCTCATTTACAGCAACAGTTAAACTATTTTTATCTGTCCAAACTACACATGGCAGCAGTTAGCTCCACTGGTTCTCCTTTGCTTACCAATATTGAAAGCATCACCTTTTCTAGTCCATATTTTGTCATTTTTGTAGATACTGCTTCTGGGCTGGGCCCACGTCCATGTGCTATCACAAGTGTTATCACAGCAGGTGCTGGGCTGGCTTTCTGCCCCTAGGTCAGGCCAAGCACCCACAGGTGGGGGGCTCAGCTGTGGGCAGCATTGGCTCATCCCTCCTTGGTGATGCTGTCCCTGTGTGCTGTCTGCCTGGCACTGAACTCCAGCTGGGACCCGGCATGCCAGAGGGAGCTGGACAATTGAGGAGCTGTGCTCCCCACCTGGATGGGAAATTTTGTGGTGACAGCCCCTTTCCACTTCCTCCCACTGCTGCTGACATCTCTCTGCCCCTGCCTGCCAGGGTGGCCCCTGCAGCAGTGGAGGCCCATGTTGCTTCCCCAACGCTCCCTGGCGCCCTTCACTCACAGGATTTGTGCTTAAAGGAAAGGAAGACAATGTTCACCAAACGCAGACTGTGGTTTGCAACAAACACTACTGCTCTTCCCCTTCTCCTGAGGTTACTGAGTGCAGACACAGCCCACCTGCCTCTTCTAAGCCAGAGACAGGCAGAGACGTGGTTCAGTCTCAAATACTCATGGCTGTGCCAGCAAAAAGACCTGAGCCCCATGCACTGCTCCCCAGGGCCCACACGTGCACCTCAACTAACCCCGACGTGCTCCCACCCACAGGGCACACACTGCACTGTCCTCTGCACCTCATGGCTCCAGCACATTCTTCTCTGGACACACAGCTGCTGCCCTGCTTTCTTCCACTAGCACACTAGCTTTGTGTCAAATTAAAGTTCTCATGTTGGCCAGCTGTGCCACACACGTGTTTACTTCCCCACAAGATCAACATCTGCATTGTTATGGGGCAGGGAATTGCCTGAGCTGCAGCTCCCACACAGCCCTGGGTACCTCGCCCCTCCTAGGCTGGCCCTGGGACTACCAGGACAGGACATTCCTCTGTCCTTCAGGAGGGGAGGTGGGTGTGGAGGAGGCTGGGGCTGCACTGGCTGTGCCTGTGCTCCCCATTGCAGCTGGCAGCTGGGACGAGTGCAATGCCATGAGCATTCCCACGCCTTAACAGCACGGCAGGCTATTTCAGGGTGGCAGTAACCTGGGTCTGGTTGACTTTCATGTAATCAGCAGGCAAAGGCAGGTCAAGCATGCTCAATGAATTTCCCTGGTATCCACAGAGTTGACTTCTCTATTTAATAGATGGATTTTTTTTCACATAAAACTGAACAGCCTTTGTAGACATTTTAAAGACTTAGATATCAGGCACGATCTTTGTCTAGTCTGAGCTAAACATTCCTGCTGTCTCCTCAGCAGTGTGTAACTAAATTAATATCCAGTTAATTTGGCCACATTCCTTCTAGAAACATTTTCCAGACCTGCTATTTTTTACTTCCTCTCTGTAAGGTTTACTTAAGACTTCTCTTAGAGTAAGTTTTGTTACAAGACTCATGACAGTCACAATTTAAAACTACCTTGTGGGGATCCTTTTTTAAGGATTAATAATTAATCCAGAAGAGTAAACAATCCTCATATGTGCTAACTTTGATAAGAAAGTACTGCAGATGAGACACTTCAAATTAATACAAGAGAGATTCAAGGCATTCGTTTTAAAAACACACTCCCCAAAACCCCAGGGCTATGCATTGCAAGCCTGTGCTGAGGCTTCCTAGGGTTTTGGCTGCTGCATTTTAAATAATTCAAAATACTCTTTGGGTTATTTTGTGGGTTGTGTTAGTTTGGGTGGGGGGATGGATTTTCCAAGTGCCATATTTTCTTATTTATATTCACAGTACATAACTCTTTCAAATTCACTGTGTATTGTCCACAGATTACAGAAAATAAAAGCTACACCTGGGAAGGTCTAAGAATGAGAGAGGTTCCTATGACTATTTGTCACAACAGAAGTCCTCAATTTCAGCTTGAATGTGGTCCCTTCCCTCCAGAACTCAACTGCTCTGACCTGAATTCTCTTCTCTACTTGGATGTAACAAAGTATGGAAGGAGCATCCTCACTTCTGCTCATCACAATCATGAACCCCCTGTCCCTGGCAGAGACAGGGATTTCTGGAGCACACCACAGCACACCACAGCAGCATCTTCCTGCCTTCACAGGGAAAACACTACCAGCACCTTCAGACCGCTGATGAATTTTTTTGCTAAGCAGAGATCGATCCACTTGGGCAATATCTCAGCTTCTCCTCTAAGGGCAATAATTTACAGTTCAATGGATGAAATATGCATTTTCCAGAAATTACCACCTCTAAGACAGTAGTGACAGCAAAGTCACCAGAGCAGATTTTTATTAATTTTCCTTATTGTTCCCTAATAACTGAAGAAAGACATGTTTGGCCCTTGGAAGTGGCTGGCTGTTTTTATAGAAAAAGAGACTTTCCTATTAAGTTAAACATTAAATAGCTCATGTCTCCTGACTCCCACAAATGCCTCCTCACACCCATCATTTCAGGACAGGTTTTTCTTCTCAGCAGAACCCTATAATTAAATGTGAACTTAAAAGTACCAGGCAAGCATCAGTGAAAAAGACCCTGGTGAGGGCCACAGATGGAGTTTAAAACGGAGTTTAACAGATATGAGGTGCAGTTTTGTGCAATCACATTACCAGGAGAAATTGTGAGACAGGCCACTGATGCAGTTTTCTATTGTTTTCTCAAGGTGTCACATCAGCTGGGTGTATGACGGTGCCTTTCCCAGCAACAGGCAGCTGAAGACAGTCATTCTGACCAGAAACCTGCTCATGTTTCTGTCTGACACAGCATTGGCCCGCGTTCCCTGGAGCATCTTAACACAGACAGGAATAACAAGTATGTTTTTTATTCCAGTGACCATCTTGGCAGCTCAGGTATCTTCATCTTGGGCAGCAACCACATCTCTTCACTGCAGCTTCCTCCCAACTTTCCCATGCGAAACCTCAAATACTCGATTGTCAAACTAACAACGTACAAGCAATCACAGCAGAAGATGTCCAAGCTCCACAGAAAACCAGCAATATAACTCTCATCCTTAAAGGCAATAACATGACATACATTGAACCTGGATCTTTTCAGTCACGTTTCTATAGTTTGGATTTAGTGGGCTGTGCTGACATCCCTGGGGTCCTGGTGGGGATACAGAACTCCACAGCCCAGACCTTTTGGCTGGAACATTTTATGGTGTGGAAAAGGAGCCCTACATAAGTTCAGATGTTTTACAAGGCCTCTGGAGTATCTCTGTCAAGGATCTCTATCTGCAGTTATGGCACCTCAGAAATCTAAATGCTGACACATTTCAGAGCTTAACCAGGCTCCAAAAGCTGGACCTAACCCAAACCCACATCCATGCACTGCCCCCTGGCATCAGTGGCATGAGCTTGCTAGAGGAGATGGTTCTCAATGCAAACTGCTTTGAGCAACACCAGCTCTGCTGCCTTCCCCTCCCTCACCCGCCTCCACATCAAGGGTAACTCACAGGTTCTGCAGCCAGGCTCTGGCTATTTGGAGAAACTGGCAAAGCTTCAACATCTAGGTTTAAGTCAGAGTCACTTTGAAAGTTCTGATACTCCAGCAAAGAGCTGAGAGCTCTGAGCTTTGTTACCTGACTCTGAGCCACAACACACACCTCCATCTCCAGGACATGCTCATTTAGGACAGTGCTAACCTAGAGCTGCTGGACCTACCCTTCACTCCTCTCTATATCAACACCTTACAGAGCCCTTTCTAAAATCTCCATCTCTAGCAAGTGCTGATGATGATCTTTCCTCATCCCACATTAATACTAGCATTCAGCATGTCTTTCAAGGCTTGAAAAACCTCATGTTCTTGGACCTTAGTCAAAATAACTTTGATTTGGGCATCATGTCAAAGGACAAACTGTTCCAACAACTATCCAATTTAGAGGTGCTAATATTACCATCCTGTGGACTAACATCAATAGGTAACCAAGTATTTCACAACCTCAGGAAGCTACAGCATGTTGATCTGAATTACAACAAATGTACTGCATTCAGCACAGATGCATTTTCAAACCTCAGGAGTATCAATATCAATTGTGTCCATAACAGGATGCACATTGTACCAGGTGTCCAGCTAGTGCTCCTAGATGGCCACTTTGTAATCAATTTACGCTACGACCTTCTGGACTGCTCCTGCTCTAAGACTGATTTAATCACCTAGTACAGGCAACATCTGGATAAAACTGAAGACCCTGAAGGAACAAGGCACTCTGAACACAAATTTCTAGCTGGGTTCAGCTGGCCACCATCTTACTCTCCTGTGGGAAGGACACATCAGGAGTCATTGCAGTTGTCCTGGCTGTTTAATCCTGTAGTGTCCACACATTTGGAGTGTTCACCATTTCAAGCAAAATTACCAGCAACTGTAATCTAGGATGGAGACACAGAAAATATCTACAGCAACTGTATTAAGTGGAACGACACCTCACTGGTTTTATTTGTGACGTGTATTTTCTTGACTTTTGTAATATCCTCTCTACCTGTATTAAAACTTTTAGAAAAATAATGAAAAAGTTAGAATAAATAAATTATTACCTGAATCTTGAAAATTAATAACTTATCTTATGGAGAAGTCCCAGTTCAACTCAGTGGTAGCCCTGTTGTACCAATACTGTGGCTAATGCACTTGGAAAATCTAACAGTTAAAATACAAACTTCCTTCTCTTTAAAAGAAGAAAACTTAAACACCACCACACCCAAAAGGGAAAAAAACCCCCCAAACAACCAAACATCCCAACCCAAACTCCACCAAACAAAAAAACCCAAGCAAAATCCCCAACCAAATTCCATCCCCTATCAAATACCCTTGAAAATCCATGTTTTATAAGAGCTGGCAATAGTGTACCCCACTCTGCCAAAAAAAAACCCAAAACCAAAAAAAAACTCCAACAAAACAACTACTACCTGTGAAGAGCAGACAGATTTATAGTTACATAAGACATGCCTGCAGAACTGACAGAAACAGCATGTATCGCCTCTGTGATTTTTTTTAAAAAATATTTCTTTAAAATACTTTTGATCCTTAGAGAATTCCCAGCCACTGAAATCCTGTCTATCCATCTTTCAGCCTGAGGCAGGCTCTGCAGCCTCTGCTCTTTTCTAAACTCCACAGTAAGTAAAGACAGAATGATCTTTCACCACAAAACTGTAGATTTGTGGGTCTAATCTGTGAGTCCAATTACTCTGCTTGTTTGCATAGGGCAAAACCCCTCAATGCTGACGGATATGAGCCATTCCTTTGCCAGCCTGGAGTGGACTGTTCCTTTCAGCCACAGCCCAGGTGAGAAAACTAGAGGCTGCAAAGGGGGCAGTGCACTGGACCACCTCATCCCACAGATGCTCCTGGTGTCAGCAGCTACTTCATGTTGTTTCTGGTGTGCATCCCTGGAGTGAATTCAGAGACAACAATCCCTGCTTCACTTGATAATGCAACAGCTAGGCAGGAATAAAGACTTATTATTTATATAAAGCCAAATTGTTTTCTCTGCTATCCCATGTGAATAAACCCAGGGCAAGGCAGAGTATGTGCATTGGACCACAGATCTAATGAGAGCTGATGGGCCTACTCATCTGCCCTGCACCACCATAAAGTCATTGATGTTTACTTAGTACTTCTATAACAGGCTTACCACAATGGGTAGACACCACTTTGCTGGTGGTACGACCTTCCTGTCTCCTGGATCATGCACCACGGGGAGGCTTGCCCAGTACCACTCCCTGCTGTGCTAGGCTGGAGCTATGGTTGCTCCCTGGGATGTGGAAGGCCAACTTCCACATCCCAGGGATGTGGAAGTTCCCACAGTCTCTCAACATCCCACAGTCTCTCAACACTTCCCATGCAGGAATCCACATTCAGATTCAGCTGCTGTCCAAAGGCATTTGCTCAACATTTTCCTCTCTAACATGCCAACTAGCTAAAATCTCGAAGATTCCTGCTGGACTAGAAAGTTTTTGCTCATTTCTGATGATAGTGCTGACAAGAGCCCCTGACTGATCTTCTCCAGTAAGAAATACCTCTCACTTGAAAAGGTCCTTTTATTATCTGTTAGCAGATCAGACTCATACAATATGCATTTTTGCAGCTTTTAGATGCCTTTGCATCACATACATCACTGCCCTACCCCCCAGCTTCTCCTCCTCCTGCCTTCATAGCTGTGCTGCCCAAAGGCACGCAGGGAGAGGTGTTTGCTGCTCTCTCCAGCTGCCTACAAACACTCTCGGATTTAGCATACTGAAATGTTGCCTCTCTCTATTGCTGGTCCCTGTTCACGTGGCTGCTGAAGTCTCCTCCTGATGCAACGGGCAGGTGCTGTAGTCCAGCTGCCCAACATGAAGCTGCATGGGCTGCCTGCCCTTCTGCAAGGGCTCAGCTACAGGACAGAACTGTCCCTGAGCAGACTGTGCTGCCCAAGCTGAGCACACCCTGACCCGACCTTGGGAGCAAGGCAGGGACATTCCTGAACTCAGCTCAAGGTTCAAGGTGCATTTTCCTCTCACTCTGCAAATCCAGTTGGTTAAATGAGCAACCTCCAATATCTTAAAAATCCAGCATGATTGCCAGAGTGTGTTCCACAGAAGAAAGACTTGTTTCTCTCTTGAAATGGTGGGTTCAGGAAGGTGTTCAACAAATACTGACATCAAAAGTGAGCATAACACACTCCAAGGGCACAAAAAAAAAATTGTTCAAGCATCAGGTAGTAACTGTGGGAGATCCACCTGTAGTAGTGACTGCAGAGAAAACTGCATTGTGTGCTGGAAGGCATTCTGAAATGCCCTTCTGTTTGGAGACCACCACAGGATTTAACCACCACCAGTTTCTGAAATGCTATCCTGTGTCATGGTGTAGACTCAGGTGTACATTTACTGTTAAAACTCAGACATCTGAGAAGGCAAAACATGTTTCCTGTGCCATATGTATTTGCACGCAGAGTATTAAGGCTTTCTTTCAATTTATCCCTTGCCCCACACAACTTGTTTTAGATTACTGTATCTTCAGGTGTTCTAATTTCGCTCTTTTCTTTACAACGTGCTTTACTCTGCTCTATTTGCCTGAAAAAATGTGATTCGTAAGATACTGTGCAAACAATGCTGAACAGCAAACTCAACTGAAAATGCTGAAACACACAAACCCTAAATACAGGGACTGACTATTCTGAAGGAAAATTTATCTCTGGATGTAATACACTAAAATGTCCTAGATTATGTATTAAGACTGTTAAATTAAAAGATTAATGTTCTGGGATTACTTAGTGAGGATATACATGGAAAGAGGCAATAGATTTTTTCTTACAGAATTGTAAGAAAATCAAGCTCTGATGGGATGCACTCTTTCAGTCATACCTTTTATCTCTTGTTTTTTCCAAATACAGCTATGAAGCCAGCACACAGATAGAACAAGAGAATTGTCTGAGGTGAATGGTGCCCAACAAAATTTAGCTCATCATCACCCTAGCTCCTGGACTACACATCCCTAAAAGTCACAGTACAACTTAATACCACAACACAGAATTTATCACTATTTGCAAAGAGAAGGAACTTAAGCATATCTTCATTATTTCACAGACTGGTAAGCACTTAGCCTTTATTTCACCAGGACAAACCAAAACTCAGAGCCAAGTTCTTTCCTTAACTGTACTTAAGCAAGGTCCCTCAGTAAGAAGCAAGACAATTTTTGAAGGGGCATTTTATTATGAACAAGATGGTTGAGTGGGCCAATCGTTAATTTCAAAATACACATCCTGATGTCAATGGAGTATCTTTTAAGAATTCTCTCTCTCATTCACGGGTCTTCCTGGAAAAGGAACAGGTCACATCCCTTCCCAAGCAATCTATACTATACCTCCCATATCAAACAAATAAGAATTTGGAATTCTTTTCTGCCAGTAGCAGAAGACATTTTTCCCTACCAAATCCCTTGGACATCCTCTTCCCTTTCAGATATGCATTTCTTAGGGCTTGATATGTACCAGAACACAACTACACCTTTACTGTCTTCTTACTCTGCCATCTTTTCCCTTCCTTCTGATGCTCCCAAATTTTGCCTTTTGAACTATAACCTTTAGCATTGCTTCCTCTCCATGGTGGCTGGAACTTTAAGGTCCCTTCCAGCCCAAACCATTCTGTGATTCCTACACTCAGTTCATTCAAATGTATCCTTGGCAGGTACCTGGTAGATTTATCTGGTCAGTTCTAATCAACTACTATATTACAGATAGTCAATGGAAAGAAAAACTGTTGCTAACTCAAGGCAAGCAGTGGGATGTAGCCGGGGGCACCTAGAGAGGGCATCCATACACCCTCTCGTATCTTCCTGTCCTGTGATCTTTTCCTTCTGATCTGCCCTCTCAGTTTTGGGCCAAATCAAGCTGGATGTCCCTGCGAAGTCCTGCAGGCTATGCAAGACTACAATAAGGCGCCAAAGGGGTTTAGCAAACTGAGAGTTCAGTGCTGAAGAAGGGAGCTCACGTTCCCCTTCAGACCATGGAAGCATTCCCATCCCACGTAAGGTGAAAAAGTGAAGGTGACAGGCTATGCCAGATATAACCATGATAACCCATCTCTCCCAATTTCCCCCTTAACACAAACTCCACGCCCACCCCTTTCCTCTGACCCACAACACTCCGGGGCTCGCTCTGGGCATGCAGGCTTCTATGCCTCTGCTGGCAGAGACAACTACGCTGTCCACAACCATGGACAGCACAGCTGGCAGAGGCATGAGACAGTCAACCCTCAACTCTTGTAATTTGCCTTCCCTCAGCTGCTGGATCCTGTTCTTCTCTCCTCAACCCATCACCCCCATCAGCACACCGGATTTTCAAGACTATCAGCCTTCTGGTGGGCTGCAGCAAACTGGAAAAGTTGGGGGCAAATTGCAACTTCTCCTCACCTACGTTTCAAACAGAGAGAAAAGCAGTAAAAGTGACGCTGTAACACGGCTGCACTTAGTTCTGTACAGAGAAAAAAGACAGAGAAAACAATGCAGTAATAAAATGTGAACACAAATTCCCAACTGCTGGGCAGCTCTACAGAGTTAGGAGCAGCAGAAAAGTAAAGAGGTGTGTACTTAAAATATGGTGCTCCTATAGTAATAAATGATTACATGTGTTTTGCAAAAAGAATTTAAATGTCACGTTACAGGCTACTGCCCATAGAAACCAGCAGTCAGGCTATGTCATCCACCACCACACTACACTTACCTATCCAACAGCGGAGCAGAGGATCCAGACATAGCCTGAGATGAGATACTCAGCCTTGCACACCTCCTCTGGCCCCAGACCAAACTGCATTTCCTTAGGCAAAACCCTCCACCAGCACATGCCTTAAAGGGTGCACTGAGCTGGCCCCAAAAAACACCTGAACTGCCAGCCTC